AGAGACTCACAAAATAAAAATTCTTCTTTGATAGTATCAAGAGACACGTAACGAACAAAAACAAGAAGTTGACTATAATTCGAGATATCTGTAGTTTCATCCAGTTGCATACTAAAGGGAAATGGCGATACTTTCAATTCATCGATGATCTTTTCCAAGAAATTGCAAGAAATTTCAACTATTCTTGAATGTGTCACATCATTTGAAAATGGAATTGCCTCAATTTTTTTCTATCTGTTCCAATCTACAAACTAATACAACCATCTCCAGCGCACATGGCTTAATTAACGTCTCTCCAATAGTATGCGGTTTCTTGCTTTTAGCAATATGATATGCAACTTTGAGAGATGCCTCAACCAGAGGCTTTTGTGAAATACCAAATCCAAGTTTGTCTAATATTCCAGATTTCAAAAACTGAGCTTTCTTCTTAGTAAAAAAATTCAAGATCTAGTAACCTGAGTGGTGAGTAGATCTAGTAACAAGGTGTCAAATGTATGTAGCTTGATAGGGGATAATAAAAATAGTGCAGCTGGCGTCATCAGGGGGTTGCCCCTGATGGTGCAAACTGAAAGCTGGTTAGTGGAGGATGTTAAAAATATGACAGGGATATTAGAGGGCTGTGTGCAGTCCGTACTGAATTTGGGGTATCTCGATCGCCTAGTTTCAAATATGTATGTATTTTCACCTTTTAGAAAGAAAAAAAAAGATCAATGTTATTTAAATATTATTGATCCAAACGTTTTAAAAATTAGGAGTAGTCGGTGGACACCCAAAATATGACCCATGGACCCCTAAGGGTCAGTGAACCGCAGGTTAAGAAACCCTGCTCTAAGCCAATGAAAGCATTTCATTTCTCATATATATTGGTTTATTTTCAAATCGCCAAATATTAGAGGGACTCCCGATTGTAAACTATTACTCGTATTGCTTTTTTTCTTTCCTTTTTTTTTGTTGAATAATCTAAGCATATATATTTTAAAACAATCGCTTTGTCAAGGCTTATAAAAATAGTCTTAAATTATTTTTTAAAAAAAAATCTTGATTTATTATTAAGTGATGCAATTGTACCAAATGTAGCCTAATATATTAGACGCTGGGGTCTCAAGAGTCATGGAGTTACTATTGGATAGGTAAATTGTCGGAAAAAGGTACATTTTTCTTACCCAGTAGTCAACCAAAGTAGGGGTAAATTTTGATTTTCATAAAAATTTGGTTTTTATGCTTTTGTAAATTTACATGTTGGTGTTGAAATCGAAATCGTTGCTGTGTTATCGAAATACTATAAGCACACTTCAAGATATTTTACTCTCGAGAATTAAATAATGAGATAAATGAAATTAATGATAAATGAAATTAATGATTATAATAAATAGTTATAATTATTAGAATTGTCAATTATTACTAGATCATTTGAAGATTTTTTAACTCTGTAAACTTTTAACTATACCACCTGTAATAGAAAATTAAAAGAAGTACGAAGAATATTATTAAATATGTAATTTATTTTTCTCTCTTCTATTTAATTTATAAAATATATTTAATTAAAAAAAACAACAACGTTATCAAGTCCATATTGTGGAAGTTGTCTCATCAGATAGCTTCAAACGTTATTGTCCGTGGTATATAAATGAATTATAATAATGCAAATAACTTCACTTTTGATACTGAAAGTTTGCCTGTAAGTTTTTTTAAAATTAAAAATACCGTACTTTTATTTGCGAATATCATACTTTATTTTTAAATCACTCTTTGAAAAGAACTTCAAAAATAAAGGATGAAAATAATGATCATTTGGATTTTACATAATTTTTGTTTCTTTCATGCGATTTTTCAATTTCGTTGACTGTAGTAATTCCGTAGATCTTTTTGCTGACGTTTTAAATTCGGTAAATGCAAATGAAATCAAGAAAACGAAATTTTCTTAAAAGCTAACTTCTTTTAATAGCGTCTGTAAAATTACAATCATAACAGATGGAGTGAAAATAATCATAGAAATAGTTAGGATTTCTTAATCTTTGCACTTGCTGGGTTTTTATTTCATTAAAAACAACATTTAAAAATCACAAACAGTGAAATTTTTATTAAAATACGTACGTGTTTCGGATACAAATTGGTGCACCTTCATCAGTAGGGCAAATGGCAGGATGGCAAAACAGAGGTCATGTAATTACTAATGAGGTTATACGTCACATTACAGAGAAAATTAATGAAAATGATTTTTGATGAAGTTTCCACATCATATTTAATTGTATTTTTTATATCTTTATTGAGACGTAAACTCTGTCGAATTACATTATCTCTGCTTTGCCATAACTGTCATTTATCACGAAACGCGTATAGATTTCAATAAAAATGTTACTTTTTTTTAAGTATTGTCTTAACCCCTTCCCTCTTGCTCTCATCAAAATCACGGAGTGAACTTTCGTCTCCTTTTTCTCGTGGCCGTGATATTTCCGGGCTAGAGCGTTAAAAGTAATGCACCAAAAATGTTTAAATATATCCATCTCTTTTACCTGGAAGTTTTTTTATTTCTTGTTTTACACACTCCTGCACCAGTCTATTTTTAATGTTACTGGAAATAGTTAGTTTATTTTAAACTGGATGTCAGCTCTATCCAAATATATATATTTCTGATATGTATTTCGTATTTTCAAATCAGCTACTTATGCTCTTTGTGAATACACGGTTTGTTTTATATATATATATATATATTTAGATATAGATATTTTGTCTCATGAATGTTTTGTATCCTCAATGCAGTGTTTCAATTTTACATAATTTGATTAAGACTCAATGCTTTCTCGAATAGCATATTTTAATTCATAAAAGAAATAATAATAACTATACATTAAATTTAAGTTTCTCTGATGGCTCTGTCATAAGTTATAATGCCTTTTAAGCGTTTTTGTTTTAACCGTTGTGAGTTTACGAAAATTGCTAATTGCTTTTTTGTTAATCCATCTTGAGTCAGGATAAACTGTCACAAAATGTCAATATGAAAAAAAAACTGAAGCGTTTTTAGCGGGAGTTCTCTTTTACTTTAAAGATATTGCTCTATTTTTTTTAAATGCTTGGCGATGTTCGCTGTCACTAAATTGTTTTGGACTAACTAGCATTCAAAATTAAAAATTATTCATTTAGATTTCTTTTTAAATTTTTCTTTGAGTAAAAAAATGCACGCACAATTTGCAACTTTTAAGAAGTTTAATATTTTTTTGAATGTTCGAAACATTTGTTTGTTTTAAAACCCAGCCAATTCTTTTTAACATTATAGTATGCAAAGTTAAAAATAAAACCGTTGCTCTGAGTGAAAAACACTAAAATTGTAACTTTTCTTATTTTTATTTGCTCTGAAAACCTATGAAATTTCGACTCGCTAGCTTGCCTTAGGCGATCAAATATTTAAAGCTGGCGAGAAAGTTTTATGTTTTAAAATGTTGGGTTTTAAATTTAAGTAGATACGCTTAGATTATCTTGCCTCAATTCAGTGGCGCATGAAAATATTTGGAAATAAAGCAACTGCATTTTTTACTATTATGAACAAAGAATACTGAACCATCAACCTTGCACCTATGAAACCCTAGTTTCTGGAAGAAATGAAATCTTATTTCATTTTAAGTTTTCGTTGCTTTTAAGTAATATTATTATTGTAATAAATATGTTTCTATTGTTTAGTTTCTGCATTATTTTTTGTTTTCGGTCAACAAAAAGTTCTTCAATCTGTTAATATTTCAAAATTGTTCATATTTTCTTGAAAGTAAGATAGTGACTTTCAAAGAGTTTAATCCAGCTAGTGTCATTAGAACTAATACATGCCATTCCCCAAAGATTGCTATGCTACCTTTCGTTTAGTTTATGAACCAAAACTAGCCTTTTTCACAAGTTAGGCCTATTTAAAATGTGTCCCGGCATTTAGTTACAGAAACTACATAACAATAGAGTTGATTGGTATGAGAATTGGAGTGTATTTTAAAAAGAACAATTTGATAAAAAAGAGTGTATTTATGAAAAATTACTAATAAATGTTCAGAATTTCCATAAAAATTAAAATTACATATTTCGAGAACTGATCAATCACTATAAAAGTCACTTGGGAGAAAATTATACAGTTTTCTTTATATTTTATAGCAACATCATTTCCCTGCTCAAAAAGTGCAATATCAACCCAAAATTAAAAGCATATTAATACCTTTTAAATTAAAATATTTTAATAAAGCTAAAAGTTTAGTGATTAGCATTGGTGTTGAAAAAGACAATGTAAGACTTAAGTAGACATTTGTTTGCTTGTGCCTAATGCTGGTTAACTGAAACTATATAGAGAAAAAGTTAATTTCAAAATAGGTAAAAAAAAGTATAATACATNTTAAAATATTTTGTCGAATCCGGAGCAGTTTGAATCTCTGTAAAGGTTACTTTGAATTTTCGATTTCCTAGAAATGTACTTTTAAATCGTTACTTTTTTTGTTTAGTATTTGTACTTTTACTTGTACTTTTTACTCGTTGCTTTTTAAAATAAGAACTTTTTACTTTTTACTCGTTACTTTTTTAAAAAATACTTGTACTTTTACTCGTTACTTTTTAAAAGTAACGTTGCCATATATGCTGCCATCTACCGGCAACTGCTTAAACTTAACTTGAATACGTCCGGAATAATTTCATATGCTCTTTTTTGCCATATTCGTATACAATATCTTTTTATACAATTATCTTGAATTAAAAAATTGCCAGTTGCATGACCGTTTTTTTTTTTTTTTTTTTTTTTTTTTTTTTTTTTTCTCTTGAAAATAACTAGATCGTTAAGGGGTGAATGAAATTCAATTTTATCACAAAGGATTAAAGTTGTTATTTTACAGAACTGTATTTATTTTAATTTTTTTATTACGTAATTAAAAAGATTTTAAAATCTGTATGTATAAGTTGCTGTCATTTTGCAACATCCTGCCTATTTATGAAAACGGAAATTTTTAAATTACTAATTGCTTTTTGTTTCTTTCTTTCAGAAAATAAATCTCTTTGTAATCCAAACCCTTGTGGAAAAGGGAATTGTGTTGATTTAGAGAATACTTTTGAGTGCGTTTGCCCCCCGGATGGATTTACTTACGTCGATAATTGCAGTAAGTATTATTTTTACTTTTTACTTTTAAAGTTCTATTAAACTTACTTTACTGCATTATACATTTCTGATTGTTTTAGCTTTTACTTTTTGTGAAACCAGATGAATTGTAACAAAGTTTGTTTGTTATTGATTAAAAGTGACTAATAAAATAACATTTTTCTTACTCGTTATTTGTTTAAATTTCTACGAAATTACTAGCTTAAATAACGAGTTAAATTTGAAATGATTATAAGGCAATGTTTTGATTGTTCAACCTCGCACCTAATTTTGATGGAGGCTAAAGCAGCAAAGTAAAAAACGGATCGTACTTGTAACCTTTTAATTATTAGTTGGATTTAATGGAAATAAAAGTTGGATAGTATAAAGCGCTATAAATATCTCGAAAGGCTTTTTTAAAATACGTATAACAGTTATCTGTGACAGTGGTAGAATGGGATGAGCGAGGACTGGGATTCTAACGTTTTGATGCCCTTTTTATAGAACGATTTGTCTTTGCTCTCAAAATAAGGCCTCCGTTTCATAAATAACTACTTCGTTTGAGCCGAATTTCGTCCCCTGGAGCATCTTTTTGAGATCTACAAAGATCCAGTAGTTGCTATGGGACATATCTGGAAAGTATTTTATTTTATTTTATAACCGTCGTTGAACAGCCGACCCAATTTCATGGGTTTACGACTACTTACGTTCAACTCCGTAGCCTTGTAATTTTGGACCAATCCAGAAGACAAGGAAACTCCTGGATCAGTACCCCCAGAGGTATTGATTTGTTGTGGGAACATGGAGGATTTTGAGACTCGACAGATTTAACGTGCATCAGTCACCATTTACGACACGGGGAGTCTTCGGCCGGCGAGGATCGAACCCACGACCTCTTGGATATGGGCCCAGCGCCCTACCGACCAGGCTATCCCGGCCCTTCTGGAAAGTATTGTGGATGGGAAAGCAATTCAAAGCGTAATTCATCCAATTTAACCATTGTTTTCACCGACTTCTGACTAGGAGCGGCGATTTCCTCGCTCAGTCGATCCAATAATGCCATATAATATTCGCTATTGATAGTTTTATCTTTTTCAAGATAGTTGATGAACAAAATACCATGGCGTCCCAAAATACGGAGGCCATAACATTGCCTGCTGACATTTGAGTTTTCGGTCGCCTTGGACGACTTTCACCGGCTGCTGCCCACTCAGCTGAAGATCTTTTTGATTCAAGAGTGTAGTAGTGGATCCATGTTTCAAATATTGTCACATACCGAGGAAAGAAAACTTTTTTTATCAGTTTTTAAAGGTTCCAAACAGCGTTCTGAATCGTCGACACGTTGTTCTTATTAGTTCGGCATGAGTACACGCAGCACTCATTTCAAAAGTATCCTGCTCATCCTCAAATTTTTATGGAAAATTGTAAACACACTACCTTCTGATATCCTGCAGTTGTCTGCTATCTCACGCAACTTTCATCTCACTTTTCAAAACTTTTTTCTGAACTTTTTTGATATTTTCTGGAACAGCAGTTAATTTTGGACCACTAGAGCGTCATCAATGCCCTTACGACAGAGCTAAAATTCACAATACCAGTCAATAATGGGTGATTTTCCTGGTTCAGAGTCACCATAAAACTTATTAAAATACTCTGTTTAGCATCAGCAGTATTTCACCATAGCCACCGAGAGTCAAGGCCTCTGAGTAACTTTGTGACGTCATCCTCGGAAGTGCAGATTTGTATTAAGAGAAAACTATAATAAATAGTAAAAATCTTTGATGAGAGAAGTAAAATATTTTTGATTTAGCTAATTTACTGCCACTTAAATATATTTAAGTGGTGAATTTTCAGTTTTTATTAGAATAACTCAATATTATGTATCTTGTTATAACTGAATGAACTATGCATGTAGGACTATTGATGTTGTTATAAAATAATATTATTTGCCTTTCATAATAGAAAAGGATCTTATAAAAAAATTCTTACAAATAAAATTCCAGAACTCATCTAAATCTAATTTAACTAATCAATGATTAAGGGGTTAAATTATTTTCATAACAATTATCTTTTTTAATAAAAATAAACTAATCATCTTTTCCGTCGCTGCATGACGTGCGCACTTTAATGAAAATCAATCAATTTTCAAAAGTTAATAATATGGTTCAGATTTTTTTTAAATTTTAAAAAATGCATCAAAATTTTTTAGGTCCTTAAAGCTGCAAGTTTCTGCAATATTTTTCAAAAAAAAAAAACATAATTTTTTTTTTAGCATTATGGTTTATGCTTTAAATCTGCGCATTCATTTGCTTATAAACCGGGGATAATAATTTCCATGGTTCCCTTTATGAAAAATTGAAAAGAAAAAAATTCACAAAAATATCAAATACACAGATATAAATAACATGCTTCAAAAATTTTTAGAATTTCTGAAACGCTTATTCAATACACAATTTTATTTTAGGTTTATTGTGAAAAAAACAACAACCTTAAAGTTCCATCTCCAGAAAAAAAATCCTTAGGGATTAAAATAACATCTAAACATCAAAAAAGCCTGCACGTGAAAATCTTTTGTTTTTGCAGGAAAAACCACAGCCTTTTTTTTTCTTCAAAAAACGCTCAAAACTTTGTAAATAATGCAGATAGGGAAGTGAATTTTTTTCATTGTGCTTGGAATTATTTGAAAATTTAAAAAAAACAATAAATTATTTTTTAGTTCTTTTGCCTATGTTTGGTTAATATGAAGCCTTAAAATTAAATTATGAAATCTAATAACTAATTTCAAAGTCATAAAAAACCATTTACGCCTCCATGACAAGATACACTAAAGCAATTTATCTATGTAGGAAGTAATCATGTTATATGAAGCATGAACAACAGTTTCATTAAAACTAATTTAAAATTATTATCCAAAACAATTTAAGGGACTCACAATGACTTAAATTCTTATTTTTCATTATTATCATTGAATACACAGGAATTTTTCTGCATTCAAGTAAAATATTCGTGACATTTAAATCATATAATAGTATTCTATCATCAAGAATAAATAAACTTCAAGTGCCAATCAACATTGTAAATTAATTTTTTCTTTCTTTTATAAATAAAACTAAACTGTTTATTTTACTAGTTTTCCTTTAAGTAAGAAAAGTTTAAGCTCTTTAATGACATCTTAAATTTATTTTCGAGGATAGTTTTATATTTGGTCCGAATTCAAAAATATTTTTTAAAAAATTATGTATAAATTTGTTTTTTTTTTCACTACTTAAAGTTTCACAAAAGTATCAATGTTTTTTCAATTTTATATCATAATATCCGCTAACAAACCATATATAGTACCCGAAACATTGTAATTCTTAAATACGGCTCCTTTTATTATGTAATTAAGAAGGTTATTATAAAATCTGCTAAAACGAATATGAAAAAGTGAAAGATAAATAACACTTATTTGACTATTAGTTGCCATTTGAGAATTGTCGCGTTATCCATTTTCGAAAAAATCAAGGATCGTATCATGGGGAATTTGTAAACTAAAACTTTACGACAATTTTTGTAATTATCTTTACATTTCAGTTCTGTACTTATATATGGCATGCTTAAAATTTATATAATAATAGATATAAGCACGAGTACAACCAAACGGACGAACGAAGCTGTTGTTCATTGAAAAGCGGGAAAGATAAAAATAATAATAATAAAAATAATAAATATCCAAAAGAAAAAAAGTTCGGAAAAAAGGGGGGAATTAATAATAATCCGGAAAATAAAAGATATAATCTTTTCATCTGTTCACACGATTATATTAGCAAAAAGGAGTGCTTTCTAATTTTGTATCAATATAGCCAAAGCAAAATATATCAATACAATAGTGTGAGGAGCACTCAAAAAATTTTTTTACAAAAATTTACAACAAACAAAATATATCACATTAAGTAAAAATATCACGTAAAAACAGAAAATAAAATGTAAAGAAAAAAACAGAATAAAACATAAAACGAAATCTGTAAAGCGAGTAGCGAATTCAAATGAACTTACATGAACGGGAAATTTTTCAAAAATGATTTAAAATATTTTCGTAACATGATTGCCAGATTGCAAAATATTAAAACAGAAGCGCTAGAATACTTAGAGGAATTTTTGATGCAGTCCATGAGAATAGCAAACGGCGCACCCTTTACAATCATGAATTATACAAAAAGTACAAACAACCGCGCATAGTTCATGTTATTAAGGCCAATCGCATTCGATGGCTGGGACACCTTTATAGATCTGAAGACTAAAATAAACCAGCAAAAAAGGTACCTTTTCTTTAAGCTAATCTGGCAAAATTGATACTAAAATATTTGAAATCATTTTTGCAAGATACCTGTAAGTGGAAGTACATTTGAGCTCGCTTTATATGCTACATTTTGTGTTTTATTCTGTATTCCTCTTGAATTTTTTTCCTCTATATTTACTTGATGTGTTTAATTTTGTATTAATTACCTTATATGTTTTATTCTTATTTCAGTTATCTTCGTGTTCCTCACATTATTGTATTGATATATTTTTTGTCTATGTTAACACAATATTAGAAAGCACTATTTTTGCGGATATAATCGTGTGATGTGATGACGAGATTATACCTTTTCCTTATTCGTTTTCTGGCTTTCAATTTCTTTTTTAAATTTAAAAAACATCTTTTTTATTAATAAATTTTCTTCTTATCTTTAAAAATATAAAATATTTTTTCCTTGTTTTCTTTTTAATTTAGCTTACATTAATGGGTTTATATATATATATATATATATATATATATATATAAATATATATNTATATATATATATATATATATATATATATATTGTAAGTTGTCAATGTCTTTACATTCTGAACTCTAAATGATTATATATATATGTGTGTGTGTGTATGCGCGTGTGTGTTTGGTTGATTTGAGTCTTTAGGTTATCAAAATCAATTCAAACAAATTTAAGTCAATAAACAAAATAAAATTTATAAATTGTCTTTATCACTTTAAATATAAAAAGAAAATATTTTGGACAATATGTAATGATTGGCACCTCTGTAAAAGTATCTCTGTTCCACAGTATCTCTGTAGGATACAATAACATATGATACAATTGTGTATAACCAGTATCAAGGCTATGACTTTTATTAAGTCGTGATTGTTACGCGTAATTTACACCTCTCAAAACAAGCTAACAATGAAAAATTGTTTAAACACTTTTCCGAAAAAGTTTTAAGGCGGAAATACATACCCTCGAACTACTAAAGAATTTTCTTAGTCTTAGAAAATGTTTTTTTTTTTTTTTTTTTTTTTTTTTTTTTTTTTTTTTAGTGGTAGAAAATGCTATGTATTGATATTTTAATGCATTAGAATTTAAATAATTTTATGCATCGCTACATATAAATAATTGAAACCTGTATGTCCAATGTTAGATTCGACTTTATTTCTAGTTGTGACAAAAGTTTTCTAAAAATTCTAGTTGTTTCTAAAATTTCTGCTTTAGTTCCCTACCAGTGGAAAAAGATTTTCACAAAAACCATAAATGTTGGATGGTATGGAAATAAGTTAAGCTCAATTTTAAACCAGTATAATTTTACGGTGGATTTACTTGATAAGCAAATTTTGTTTTATCCTAAGAATTTGTAGTTATTATTTCAATAAACTTCATAATTCTTGTTTTTGCATGTTGAGAGTTTCTGTTGTCATTATCATATCATTTAAAACAATTTTATTATTTTATAATTCCAGTTCCAAAAAACTGCTTTCCGAATCCATGCAAAAATAATGGTACTTGTGAACCTGCAACTATATATGACCTTTCGTATAAATGTGCATGTCAGAAAGGATTTCATGGAAAAAACTGTGAAGCAGGTAATGTTATGCTCCACTCATAAGATGGAAAAATTAACAATATAAAATTATCTTCTGAGCTAAACCTTTTTAAAGGTGTATTTTGATAATCAATTTAATGCTAAACGTTTTTAAAGCTTTAGATTTCTTGTAGCTCCTGCAGCCTATCAGAAAAATAGCCATATCTTATTAAGTCAAGGAATGTGATGAAAATTAAAGAACAAATTGATTCAAAAACTGTTACAGAATTAATTGGTAACAAATATCATAATTTAGTTGTAAATCTGAAAAAGGTTTTTAAAATCTATTGAATTGTCAAGTGAGAAATTTAAACAGATTAGTAGCGTAATCAGCTAAACGTTCTTTCAATAGGTTTTAAATTAAATTAGAAAGTAGGAAATAGATTTTCTTAATAATTATAAATAGGTAGTAAAATAACTTTCTAGTGATATTCTATCACACCTTTACATAAGAATAACTTTAGAATTTAACTTGGGAAAAACTTAATCAATGCTCATTAAAATCAAATTTATTAAAATCATTTTGAAATAATTTTATGAATGCATTACTCGGTGTCAACTACATTAGATTCTCTTTTTTTGCTTTTCCTAGAAACAAATAATCCTTGCAAACTGAATCCGTGCAAAAATAATGGCAAATGTAGTTCTAATGGAGATAAATTCAATTGCATCTGCATGGAAAACTTTAGAGGACCTACTTGTGAAGAACGTAAACATCAACTTTTATGTTTATTAAAATTAATTTGAAATATTTTTATGAATCTCTTTTATGAAATCATTTGATTATTGTTTCTATTATCTAAAGATCCTTGCAGTCAAAATCCGTGCAAAAATAATGGGACTTGTGGATTTGATGGAGATAATTACTTCTGTACCTGCAAGCAAAACTTTAAAGGGCCAACTTGTGAAGAAGGTAAACTTTATTTTTTATTATTTTAAAAACTCAGTTAAAAAATTTTATGATTGTATTACTTGAGCCCCTTACTTTAGATTTTTTAAATGATTTTCTCAGCAAAAAAGGATCTTTGCAGCCTACTGAATCATCGCAAAAATTACGCTAGATATTGTTATTGATGGATAAAATTCTTAGCAGTTACACTAAGTAGGCTTTGGTTATTCACCTTTTTCCAAAAAAATATATATATTTAATATTTATAGTGCAAATTATAAATCTATATATAATTTTCAATATATATATTTAAAATTCATATTGAAAACTATAAATATTAAATATATATATTTAATATTTATAGTGTAAACTATAAATCAATATATAATTTTCAATATATACACTTGATATTTATATTGAAAACTATAAATATTAAATTTATATATTTAATATTTATAGTTTTCAATATATATATTTAATTTTTATAGTGTAAACTATAAATCAATATATACACTTAATATTTAAATTGAAAACTATAAANTAATATTTATAGTTTTCAATATAAATATCAAGTGTATATATTGAAAATTATATATTGATTTATAGTTTACACTATAAATATTCAATATATATATTTAATATTTATAGTTTTCAAAAAAAATATATATTTAATATTTATAGTTTTCAAAATATATATATATTCAAATGAGAGATAACAAAGATAAAAACGACCTCTTATAAAGAAAGAAATATATTATAAGAGATTATTTTGACGATCGTCGGCTTCAGTAAGAAACTTCTCAGATATTGTTCTATGCACACACATCTCCTTCGTGTTTGCAAAAGCAACTGTTGGGAGAAGGAGATGCTAAATTAACTTATCAGTCCATGGCTATCTTACAGGTCATTGGTTACTAATTAGGTTTTGATAAAGCCATTCGATTCGTTATTCTTAGTTTCAATACGATGTCCGTTTTGTGTATTTGCATTTTAAATTTGTCATTTAAAATATTTAGGGAAAAAACAGCTCTCTTGAGAGCTTACTCCTTTAAGGAAGAGTATTTAAAGCTATAAGGGAAAACGCTGGAAACATAATTAAATTTTTTAAACCTTAAGTTTATAATACAACATGTCATAAAATAATAAAACAATAACATTATTAATATCAATACTTAAAAAAAAAAGAAGTTTAAAATTATGCTTAGTTTTGCAGACAACTTCTGATACTATTAGATGTGAGAAAAACTGTTTATTTAAAATGTAATTTGCTTGGTATAAATTATGCCTACGTATAAAAAATATTTTTATTTTATTTATGCATTTTTTCTTTATACAATTGGCCATTTTTACGGATATACTTGCCACTTTGCACAAATTTATATTGGGTAGAACATGAGTTTATATACTTTTTGAATTGAGTAGTTGAATCAAAAGCATTTCTGTATTTCTAGAATGGAACAATCTGAGCAGCTGAAAGGAAGCCCACCAAATTCCCTTCCTTAAACCTTGATTAGTCTTATTAGCTATTACTTTTAGCGTACATGGTTCCCGAATTAATAATTAAAGAATAAAGACATAATAATAATAAAAAATAAAGAAAAAATAAATTTTGGCTACTTTTTATCTCCAAGAATCAATCGGAGAACAATAGTTCGGAAAAGGGATAGCGCTAGAATTTAGGGACTTCATGTTTCTTATTCTCCACCAACATGGATTTCAAATTTGAAGCATTTAAGTAACAGTTCACATACTTTGTACAGACCAATACTACTCCAACCCCTGCTCTCTTCTGATTGCTCCTAAAAAAAACACAAGATGTCCCAGGATTATTAGGAGAAACTTTAAGGGGAGATAGGGGACATTACAAGGATTCTGAATTGCATAGCAACCCACGGTTGAAAACGTCCTTGTAAAATAGTATGACAGGTTCAAGAAACCAAGAGACACAAAACTGAGATCACCTAAAATATATTTAATCGTCAAAGATATTACATGTGCTATGGTAGATGGTATGTGAAAATGTCATAAAAGATGTAAGTTTCCACCATTGCTATCAATACCTGCGTTATATCTGCGTCAGGCCATGTCTTGACGGACTTGCTTAAATATACCTGGATTTTGTTTGATATCCGCAGCAGCACAGACGATTCTTGCCACCAGATCCACTTCGGAATCCACAAGTGTTGCGTACACAACACTTTTCATTACACCCCAAAGAAAGAAATTCATATTACGCAAATCAGGAGACCGTGGTGGCCAAAGAACCACCATATTTATCACCACGCCCAATTCACCTGGAGAACAACGCAACGCCTATCTGTGAACGCATACATTTCCGATCATGGGTTGCTATGTAAATCTGAATCCTTATTATGTCCCCTACCTCCCCTAAAAGATTGCACCAAGAATCCTGGGACACCTTGTATAATTATCTTATTTTACAGTCAGTTTTTGTTTTCTTCTTTCAGCAAATAATTTTTGTGTTCCAAACCCTTGTGGAGAAGGAATTTGCGTTGAATCAAATAATACCTTCTCGTGCATTTGTCCCTTGAATGAAATTTCTTACCTCGAATATTGCAGTAAGTATTTCTTTCTATTTAGCTTAAAAGTTTTGCCTCAAAACCACTCTTCTAATACTATTTTTTCTAACTGCGTTTTAAGTTTTAATTGGTTAAATAATCTTAAGTTGAATAACAAAGATGGCTTTAAGAAGTCATGCGGAAATGTTTTGACTGCTCAGGTCAGTAATTTTTACGATAAAATTTTTTTTAAAAAAAGATGTAATTAGTTTTTGTTTTTGTGTGAGAACAATAGAAAAATTGTATGTGCCCTAACGTTTAAATTTACTTTCATTTCATATTTGCAACCGAAACCAACAAAGACTCACCTTGTACGAAGGGAAACAACATGACTTGTCTGCAAGGACCTTGTTATTTTGCTAACTCAAAGTGTTTACGAAAATTTTAAAAGAATTTTGTTGCAGAAGATTCAGTATTATTTATTTATCTTTCAAATAGATTAAATCTAAAATCTTTTGATAAATTAAATTAAAATGAAAGTAGTTGAGTGGTTGGAAACGATAAATAAAAAAAAAATGAAGGAAAAGATGGAAATGAAAACAGAAGCGCGTTAGCCATTACCTGGAGAATTAAGCTGATTACTGGCCGGGGATGCCACAGGCGACTAAAAATGTAAAAATGATTGAAACTCAATTCCTATTCATTTATTTATGATCTCTTTGATTGTTCAACAGTACCAGGGGTCTGTCTAGGTTTTTCTGGGAGGTACCTATTTTGTAAAAATTGTCATAATTTGTGAAAAATAAAAATTTCATAAAACAAATCAACACAAAAATAGGAATGTATCGTTTCTTACGGGATACAAAAATTAAAAAAAAAGTATTTTGTGAAACTACCGTTTTTCCGAAAGTTGAATTTGCGAAGGTACCGCTAAACAGTAGTAAATTTGTCCTAGAAAGACCGCTGAGTACATACCACTTTTAATAGAACTTTAAAAAAAATGCTACAGAAAGAAGCTAATTGTAGTCTCTTATACTCTATTATCAGCCACCACGTTTTGCATTTTTAATCGCTCGTGACAACCCAGAAGGCAACCTATCGCTTTCTATGGTGATATATGTATAATACATTTTCCAATAGAGTAAGTTCCCGAATTGAAGATTGAAATTTCTTAAATGTAAATTAAGTGAAGAACTAATTGATAAATACACAAGAAATTTGTGTAAATCATTATTACGAAAGTTAGATTGGAAAATTAATCATTTCATTTGTTCTCATATATCTCGATGAATAAAGTTACCCTGTCCAACCGTAATATTCTAATATTAAATTTTTATATGTAGATATCATAGTTACCTCGAGCAATTAAAAAATATTAAAGTGCAAGCTTTATTGCAACAATATTAATTTAATTTAAGGTGTAAATATATTATATGTTTTTTTTTTAATATGAAGACTTTCAGTAACGATATATTTTCTTTTTAAAATACAATAAGTATTAATGCAAATTAAAATTAAGAAAAAATATTAAAATTGGTAGCAAAATTGATTCATTACTAGTTTTTTTCCTAGTTACAAAACAAAACATACGTGTTCACTGCGATATAGTAATTTACGTTAAACCTCTAGTTTTGAAACTGGAATTTTGAATTAATAAAGTCGGAAATCAAATGGCAAGCATTTGGCAACAACAGACAATTTTTAGGATCATTATTACCTTTTCTTTCATTTGTCTAATTCTTTTTCCACTCATGCATTCACAAAACTTTATGGTTTCAGTTCCAAAAAACTGTTCTCCGAATCCTTGCGTAAATGGTGGCATTTGTGAGCCTTTGACGCAAAATGACCCTCCATATAAGTGTGTATGTCAGATGGGATTTCAAGGAAAAAACTGTGAATCAGGTAACTTTATTTTCGGTTTAACATGTTTGTGAAAATACAGAAAATTTTTCATTTGTATGCATATTTTCTTGTAGTAAAATAAAAATAATAAGAAAAAAACATATTTTTCAAATAAACAATGAGGAAAAAATAATATTTGTCCGTGTTAAAACAGAAGTTTTCGAAACTGACGTCAAAATTAAACATATCTGAGATTTGATCTCTCTGGGAAGAATTATAACTTGCAATCAGGCTCAAACTCCAAACTCTTGTTGCATCAGGATCAAAACTCCTTAATATAGCTATTTGGAAAGTGATCAAAATTTTGAATGACAATTCTAATAGTGATAAATTTAAAAAATGATGAGATAAATTTTGCTTTTAGCTTTTAAGAAATCGATTGAAATTTGTATTGTTATTCAGCTTAGTGCTTCAATTTTAACACTCGTAACTGGTCGGGAAGTCTTTCAAATTTGGATTAATTTCTTTTAATTTTTTTTTGTTGACTTCAGGCAATGATAGAATTTTTTATTAATACCAACAGGCATAGATAGCTTTAGTTACAATTTAAGCACTTTTTTCCTATCAAGTAATGAGCGGAATTTTGATTGGTGATCAGTTTCTTTTGTTGATAATAAGGGGAGAAATCCAGCTTAGAAATTCTTTGCTGCTGACACATTTTCGGATAATTCATAACATCCATAACAGATATTGTTATCCATAACAGACATGAAGATGATGTTTAAGCATTTTTGTTCACATGAAAGTGGAAAGAATTTTTATTGGTGGTAATTTTGTAGGAAACTTAAATTGTTGTCAAACGTAATGCGCAGTACATATGTAACTGCTTTAGCTGAACTGAAATTCGCCTAAGTTTTGATACAAAGGAGAACTTAGTTATAACAATATGTTATATAACAATATTCTAAATATTCGGGATCACAACACTCGAATACGCCATCTAAGAAGACCAGCTCCATGTCAAGAGAGTACCTCATTTCCTCTCCCTGCTTAAATGTTTGGAAATGTATTGTGCGATGACCCCATCCATAATATTTTCGGACTTACTATATCAAGATATTAAACACAATTGAATCATTGAAAATAACGTAATTAATGAATTACTAACAGTTGACAGTTCTTTACATCAGATTTTTTAAATCCTTTTTACAAAAAGTAAATATCCTTGAATCCCAAACCCCTGCAAAAATAATGGAAATCGCAGTTCTTATGGAAATAAATACTCTTGTACATGCAAAGACAACTTTAGACGAACTAACTGCTATATTTTTGTAAAAATATTTTTTACAAAACTGTCGAAAACAATTTTATGAATATTAATGACTATCCCTTACATCAGATTTTTAATTACTTTACCCAGATAATAAAAATCCTTGCATCTCTAATCCCTGCAAAAATAACGATATTTGCAGATTATTGAAACGTAATCATTGCTTATCATTGTATACATAATCATTGCTCATTATAATTAAATTTATTAAACTCATATTGAAATACTAATTTTATGAATGTATTACTCCATGTAAACCACATTAGACTCTTTTATTTATTTATTTTGATTTTACAAGAAACTAAAAATCCTTGCATCTCTAATCCCTGCCAAAATAATGGAATTTGCAGTTCTGATGGAGACAAATACAATTGTACATGCAAAGAGAATTTTAGTGGAACTAACTGTGAAGAGCGTAAGTAATATTTTTTTTTTTAATTATTGAAAAGAATTGAAAAGAATTTTATGAGCATATGAGTGACATTCCCTTACATCAGATTTTTAATTGCTTTTAGCACAAACTAAAAATCCTTGCATCTCTAATCCCTGCCAAAATAATGGAATTTGCAGTTCTGATGGAGACAAATACAATTGTACATGTAAAGAGAACTTTAATGGAACTAATTGTGAAGAACGTAAGCAATATATTTTATATTTATTGCAAAACAATTAAAATTATTTTATGAATATATCACTGGCATTTCCTTACGTCATATTTTTACTTGCTTCTACCAGAAACTAAAAATCCATGCATCCCTGATCCCTGCAAAAATAAAGGAATTTGCAATTCTTATGGAGACAAATACAATTGTACATGCAGAGAGAATTTTAGTGGAACTAACTGTGAAGAGCGTAAGTAATATTTTTTTTAAATTATTGAAAAGAATTGAAAATAATTTTATGAATATATGAGTGACATTCCCTTACATCAGATTTTTAATTGCTTTTAGCACAAACTAAAAATCATTGCATCTCTAATCCCTGCAAAAATAATGGAATTTGCAGTTCTGATGGAGACAAATACAATTGTACATGTAAAGAGAACTTTAGTGGAGCTAATTGTGAAGAACGTAAGCAATATATTTTATATTTATTGCGAAACATTTAAAATTATTTTATGAATATATCACTGGCATTTCCTTACATCAGATTTTTAATTGTTTCTACCAGAAACTAAAAATCCTTGCATCTCTAATCCCTGCCAAAATAACGGAATATGCAGTTCTGAGGGAGACAAATACAATTGTACATGTAAAGAGAACTTTAGTGGAACTAATTGTGAAGAACGTAAGCAATATATTTTATATTTA